TGTAATTAGATGAACATAATAATGTAAATGAGCAAATTGTTTTTCTTTTCACTTCGTGGATTTTTTTTTTTTAGCAACCTATGGCCCTTGTCCAGATATCTGCAGTTTGAAAAAAACTTAAAACAAATTCAAGTATCTTGATGTCCCTTCCAAAGCAGAGACAATTACCATTAATACCATTCATACTGGAGAAAGTGTTGTTTGATAGTGCCTTTGACCTCTGCAGCATAATTTATTCTCCCACAGCATTCCATTACAGAATTGGAGATATCCATGGATGTACTACAGCCTTTCTTTTCTGTTGTGGGGAGAGGGGGGGGAAGCAGCTATATGGGGATATCAAGTAACACTTTCTCCAGTATGAATGGTATTCTTGGTAATTGTTTCTGCCTTTGGAATGAACATCAAAATGCTTGCATTTGTTTGACGTTTATTTTCAAACTGCAGAGTATCTGAACAAGGGACATAGGTTGCTAAAAAAATATCCCCAATCCCCAAGTTTAAGTAGAGATATATGTTTAACACTGCAGTCTTAATAAATAACTACCTAGATCTAAATTCCTTTTTTTTTTAGTGAGTTTGACAACAGGTAAAGAGATTTAGGAATATAGCCTAAATCTGTCCTTTCGGCTTGATTATTACTTGTCTCTGCCTTTTCAATGCATTTAGTTATTTTCTATAAATGGCAACTTTTTGGAGGTTTTGGAGGTTTACATATACTTTATCAGCTTGCTGACAACATTCAGTTTCTTCCACATTGAGAAATATTTCAAAGTCACCTTAAATCTATGTATGTTATTTAATAAAGTCCACAGTAATTAGAAATACAAGCTACAGCTTTTGCAACTAGTTTTAAAATGATAAACTTTCACCGCAGCGTATGTGAAAAAGATCTGAGCTGGGAGGAAGAGCAGATTTAAACAAAAGGAAAAATGACTAAGATGAGGAATGATTTGGTATTTTTAGCCCGCAGAAGAGAAGACGTGATAGCTATCTTTTGATCACCTGTAATGCAAGACAGAGTAAATTGTTCCAATTTGTTGCATAAAGTAGAATAAAAAAACCATGGATTTAAATTCCAAATAGATTTTGTTATGGGCTGTTCAAGAATGGAAGTAGAAACTATTAAGGTATTGTGTAAAAATATTCAACCACAGGTAAGTCTAAAGTTGATTTGCCATTCTGTTTTCTAGCTTTTCTAGCTTTTTATGTAATTAGCACAAAGACCCACAAGACTTTAATAAATACTGAGCAACCTTCAAGTTGTGTGCATTTCTAGAAAGCAACCAAGGCTTGAAGAAAGACATTATGGGCCTAAAAGGCTCACAACTGTTCCCCGTATTTTATGTGTATTTGTGTGCCAGAAAATGACTTCCTAACACATCAAGAGACTTTACATTCTACTACTAGGGAAGCCTCAACATTAAAGAACAAGTGGAACTATGTTGCTTAAGAACCTCTTGCTTAATTTTGATCTTAGTGCTCATTTATAACATTGGAATTAATCAAACAGAAACAATAATACTATAATAAACAATAATAGGAAATAATAATTATATATGGAGCCAAGGTTTGTGCGTGAGAATGCATGGTTTTTTAAACTCTAGGCAAGAATTGAAAACTTTCCCAGGTGGTGAGCAGCACTGTGTTGAACACATGTTGGAAGAGTTGGCTGTCTCATGATTTTTCTCCATTTTTATTTGTTACTTTAAAAAATAAATAAATAAAAATGCTTTAAAATGTGGTCGTGGAAGGAAAGGACCCAAGTTGGCATCCTTTACTGGGGGTACCCTTGGGTGGTATTGATCCCTGCTTTGTAACCATCAAATTAGTAGGGATCTCAAATATCATGCAGGGCAAAACCATCATGCTTGTTGCAGGACCTGTTAAAACATTTTAAACAGTGACTATACATTCTTTTTTGAAAGCTCCAGGCAAAGGGAAATTTACCACTTCAATGTGGTAAATCTATTGCATTGGTTGACAGCCTCTTACTATCTGGAAAGTCCTCGTCATTATTAAACTGAATCTTTTCCCTTATAGTCTCAGTCCACTGGTACTGGTCCTGCCCTCTGGGATGGCATAGAACAAGTCCACATTTTCCTCTGAACTGCTATCATACTGTATCTCATCTCAACACTATTTTACATAGGTTACATGTATCCAGTCCCTGTAGATTATGTATGCTTAACTAGGTATAGATATACTATTGTAAGAGAAGTTGTCCCATGATTTTATAGCTAATTGACATGTTATATGAGATAAAAAATGACTATATCACGCCTAACAACATGATCACTAGCAACTGCATCTGTATGCAATTTTTGTATGCTTGATGTTTTGGGAGCTTCTGATAGCAAATTATTTCATTGTGCCAATTTCTCATCAGAACATGAGTTGTTTTAATTATAAACAACCATTATCTATATAGTGTTGTAACTGTTTTTAAGAATGTTTTTTCATTGTGACCATTTTCTAAATGATAACTTTTCATTTTGACTTAAAAATTACAATGATCGTTGAATCAAACCAAACCAGAGAATAATGCAAACTGTTCCCAGTTAATAGAATTAGGTTACTTCTGTACAGACCATTGATATTAACCATGTCTACCATACTTCTCAGATGTAAAGTTATTTTAAAGTGTGCTGAAAGTACTGCAGGCCTGTCTTCTTAACCATGGAGTTTATGGTTGGTTGAGGTATACTAAATATAACAAGGAGAACTGTTAAGTATTTCAAAAAGAAATAACTGTAATGTATAACTGCTTGAAATCATCTACATTTAACTAATGTGAATTGGAGAATAAGGTTTCTGATACTAAATCCTTAATGAGAAAACCCTTTGTATACCCATAGCTAGCATTTCAGCATATTCTTCTTATCTTGACTTCAGTGGAAGTCCATATTTCTTCTTCTTGGCAACAAAAAATGAATACTAGTGGTCATTGAGAGAAAAATGGACAAAAATGCTAGTGAAAATAGTATGCCAACCGTTCTTGGGCTGAAATAATTAGATAAAGCCTATAAAGTAAACTCAGTCCATCAAGACTTCTGTGGAATTCATCAAACTCCATAGTTATTACATGGAAAAACTGGACAGTTTTTTCATGGAGCAATCACTAATAAAATTTGAGGTGACCACTCCAAAATTTGAGGCAACAATCCTTTTAGAGCAGCGGTCTCCAACCCTTTGGGCACCAGGGATCAGTTCCTTGGAGAGAGGTTTTTTCTGTGAACCAGAGGGGGCATAGTTTTGTGTGCTGACTGCATCCCAGGGATGGGGCTTTGCTTGTTTGCATGGCTTGGTTCCTGGGTTGTTGCAGCCTGTGCTGATCCACAGACTGGGGGTTGAGGACCTCTTACTTTACTTTAGAGTAAGAAGTTTTCTTTTTCTTGCAATTACTTTCCACAGAAGCTTGTAGAAATCTCTTTTAAAATTAGAATTGGAGAGATAGAAGAATATAAACGGAAACTATTGTTATATTAAAATAACAAACATTTGTTAGAGGTATCAGTTTTTAAAAGTATTCATAAAACATACTGTATATGTGTCCAAATTGTTGATATATAATGCCTTATTTAAAAACATTCACATTGGTACAATCTTAACTTTATATGGAAGGTATTTGTGACTGATCAAAATCAGAGTATACAAATAGTTAAATAATTATAATTGAGCTCTATATATTTAAAAAATTACCAATTACTTATTTTAATACTGAATCCTAACACTTTGAACATATATTTTTTTGTTATTGGATATTATTTCTTTTGGGAAAAAAACAATATAGAATACAATAGGAAAAACTTATTGATCTATCTTTTCAACAGAGTGGATTGGAATAGTTTGGAGTATGACATCCAACTTTCCCATGACTGATTTGATAGATTTACCTGCAAAACAGGCAAGTATCTGCCATCTTTAAGGAAGCTAGTTGTGAAAGCATGGTGTGTTGGCACAATCACCATTGCAGTTAAAAAATGACAGTCATACTATTATTGGGATTTCATGTACAATTATACATTGCATACAAATCATACTTTGAAGATTTAAGCTCACTACAACTTAGATTGGGAAAATGCAAAGAAAGAGGAAATGTTTTCTATGACTATATGTAATTTTACAAATATCAAAACACCTTCTTACTTATGATAAAAAAACAATATATTAAAGCCTAGTAGTTTTTAGCAAAGGAAGCAAATAACCATCTTTTCCAATGAGAGCTTTTGTTGCTTTTGGGATGGAAATTTTAAGACAGCTTTCTCTAACCCAATGTTCATTAATAGCTATTCTGGCTGAATTAATATTTTATTTATTTATTTATTTGTTTAAATTTCTATACTGCCCTTCTCCAAATAGGACTCAGGGCGGTGCACAGCCTAAGTAAAAACAAAGCATACAAAATTTAAAAAACAGTATTAAAATAATTAAATATTCTGGCCGTAAATTAAAACAACCCAATTTAAAATCAATTTAAAATTTAGCTCACGCTCTAATAGACTTTAGAGTCCTGTTTATGTGATGAGGATTTGTTTGTGGGGAGCCTAATTTAAATTACTAACCAAATTCAGCACCTAAACTTAGATTATAAAGACCATTTGACGGTTGTTATGAATGGCTTGTTTGTCTTACTTTCGCTATTGTATTTTTTCTCTCACCATAAACATTCTTCATTACTGCCAGTTTAGTTAACAACCAAACTAAATATCGGGAGATAAATTAATATACAGACTAAACTAGCAGAAAGTTAAGCCCTTCCAGAAACAAAGAAGCAAATACCCAGACACCTATAGTTCATTTCGATAAAATTGTTTCTTTCCTTATTGGTAAAATTGATGATCGAGGAAAAGATAAAATCTTGTCACACTGCAATATGACTATTTCCTTTGCAGCGCTGAGTTCATTTACCATCACGGGCACCCTGACAAATGTTCCTTAATGAAATGAATCTTACAGTGAATCACTATTCAGTATGAAATGAACAACAAAAGCAAAAACACAATTCACAAACACATCTGATGATTTGAAGTTGTACCTTCAGTATAAATTTAGATGTTCATTACTCAGACAAAAACAAGATTGAGGTTACCAGTGCCTCTCAGCCTTGGCAGTTTTAGTTAAGTCTACCTCATAAGTCCGCATTCATCTTCCAAACATTACAATCACCATTCTTTCCAACATTTAGTCTAAAATATCAGATAAAATGGTTTTAATAATAAGATAAATATTGATGTGCTTCTCCTTGCTGAGTGCATTGACTTAAGGCATAGGCACAAGTCTCCCTCTTTTAACAGAGATGGTATATAGTTGTGTCCCAATACAATTATTATCCTGGGTGACCCCCTTGCATATAAGTAGCTCAAAAAGTACTTTGCAACAACCACCGAGTTAGCCAATGCTTTAAAGACTTAATATAGTCACTAAGGCTGCACCCCTAACTATGTAAAGTAAACCCCATAGAGCGTATTTGACCTTACTTCTGAGTAAGAATGTCTAGGATTGCACTGCAAATCTAATCTGCAACTATGCATTTTACTGTCCATCAAAAGTGCACTTTACTGGTGTCTTCAAGACTTTTTAACCGATGACTTGAAGCACCTAATTATATTTAGAAATGGCTTAATCCAAACTCTACTGAAACCAGTAGTGAAAATGTTATCTAAACTGAATTCAGCTGACTTGCTAGGAAGTTCTTGGTGTGCTCTAGATCAGAAAGCCTCAAAACTGGCTTGAAGTTTCAAGCTTGTCAGAAGAGTAACCAATAACTTATGTGTTCCCCCAAATCTTGGAAGTTATAGACCAGTTCTATTTTACTAGACTATTACAAACGCATTTGGGGATCAGCTAAGGAATCAATTGCATGAATCATGTGCCTTTTCCACAATAGAAGATGCAGAGTCGTGGTGGGCAGATCATAAACCACATGCTTCCTATCACCTTTTCTGAAGTGCAATTCATTTTAGGTTTTTGGTTTTAACAGTATGATTGAAAAGGTTTTTCTTTTTGCTGCTACTATTGTTCCTTAATCACTATTTTTTTTGCAGGGAATGTTTGTAATGATCAGATGATTTGCTTCCAAGACACCATTCCCAGGCCCTTCTTAAAGCCTCTTCTGATTATATGGTATATGGTGGCCCAGTGGTTAGAATGCAGCATTGCAGGCTAACTCTGCTCACAGCCTGGAGTTCGATCCTGACTGGCTCAAAGTTATCTCAGTCTTCCATCCTTCCGAGATGGGTAAAATGCAGACCCAGATTGTTGGAAGCAATATGCAGACTCTGTAAACTGCTCCAAGAGTGGTTTGTTTTATATATGTTTTAAACTCGTTCTGTTCTTCTGTTTACTGAAAGCCTTTACTTGTAGCTTGGATATATTCTACCTTCCTTTTTGGTTTCTTACCTTCATGAGGAGGGCTGCCTTTGCCTTTTTGGTTTCACATTTAGGTTGTCTTTATATACAACACCCTTTCTCCACAGATACAGATATCTATATGGCCACAGAAGAACCAACAGCACCAACAGGAATCTGTGTTCAGCATCATATAAATGTAACCTCTCTATCTCCCTTTCCTAGACAGCTGGGGATACCACAATTGCAGATCTAGTGCCTTTACACACGGCAGATTAAACATGGGGTGCGGCCTCTTGTGACATGATAGAATTTCTTCTTAGTTATGTAGATTAAATGTTATATGTGAACTAGCTTTTAAATTTGGAGAGGCTTGAAAACCCTTGACAAATGGAGACATACGTTCAACAATCTGAATACTCTGGAAAAGATCTGCATCCAGTTCACTCATAGTTCTTACATTTTGATGCAGGAATGATAAATGCTACACCAAGAGGGTCACCCTGGAATTTCTTGTACTGAAACCTCATTTTATGGAAAGGATATATATATCTATATATACTTGTATCTATATATATCTATATATTTATATATTCACACACACACACACACACACACACATGCACGCACACGCCCCCCTCCCCCCAAACATACACACAAGTCTTTGATAGGCTTTCTGTGTTCTAGCAAAATTAAGTGGCAGCTTAACTGTCTTGCCATGAAGTCTGCTGCAAACAGTCTCTTTCAAAGGCAGATACTTGGGTTTATCTGGCAGGTGGAGCTAGATCCAGCCTGGGACAAAAACAGCTTCCCATTGGAACATACACACAGCTCATAGATTTTTTGATTGGATCCTGAAGGGGAGTAGGATCCCTGAGGCAATCTAGGTAGTTTGATTTTTGAAGCCTCCAACTTTATCTGAAAGAGAAGGAAGAGAAGATGAAGGAGAAAGGAGAAAAAAAAAAAGAATTTTACTTTTGGTCAGGTTCGTGATTTAAAACCCATGATGTAAATTAACTGTTCTGTAGTATACATATGCATTCAGTGAAGAATTGGCAGTTAGGCTAATATTAACATAGACCCCAACTATTTTATGCTATAGTTATATATATTTAAGTACTTACCCGTATAATTTCACATATAATACATGACATTCTTAAATGTGTGTGTGTAAGTACATCCCATACTCTCCTGCAAATTGCTGAACTGAATCTATCCCTATACCATGGGTCAGCAACCTGCAGCTCCGGAGCCTCATGCGGCTCTTTGGGCCCTCTGCTTTGATCCCACCACTGGCTGTCCCCGCCCCTCGCCCTCCCCTTCCAGTCACTCCTCACCTGGCCTGAGAAGGTAAGGACGATGGTGGGGGATGGAGAAGTGGCCAGGGCAGTGACAGAGAGGTACAGAAAGAGGGAGAGAGGGAGAGACATAGAGAGATACAGAGAGAGAAGGAGAGAAGCGGGGGAGGGAGAGAGGCAGGGAGGGAGAGAAAGATGTTAAAAGGGTTTTGTGGTTCCCGGTGTTTTTTAACAACCGGTTCTCTGACATAATGACCGGCTTGGTAGGCATGGCTAGGGGACATGTGACTGGTGGAAGTGAGTGACATCGAGTTGGCCATGCCCATCCAGGTTTTGTGGCTCCTGATGTTTTCTTTTCTCTGGGAAACGGGTCCAAATGGCTCTTTGAGTGCTTAAGGTTGCAGACCCCTGCCCTATACAAAGCCATAGCATAGAGAAGCATCTAGAGTTCACATCAAATAGTGCATCTTATAAATGTTGGCTAGATAGCATGGTCTTACAGATATAAGTCTGCTTATATCAGTGCTAAACGTGATGAACAATTTTCACATTTATATCTACATTCTACTGTAAATGTTTCTATCCCCAATACTATTTGCCTTTAAATGAAAGTCTGAATGCAAATAATCCCTCAGCACTGAATGGTCAGGCAGTGCGAAGACAAGACTCTTCCAAGATACCTATACCAATTTGGGATCCTAGGAGGAGGCACTTATGATCAGGACCATGATTATGCCTCTTCATGCACTATGTCTTAAGTAAGAATGGACAAATTTCAATGCGTTAGTCTGCATATTAATTTGGAAAGTCTAAATGAAAATACAAGCTAAATTAATTGTTCTCCTATAAATGGTGAAAGTGGAACAATGTTTACAGTATAAAAATTCTTCACTGCTAGAAGCCCTTAGTAATTGCCATAATAAACAACATAGTTTTCTGCTCTTTCTACATTGTTATTTGTAGTCTTTGATATCATTTTATTATTCTTTCTGTGATAGTTTAATGACGCACAGAAAATCCATTGTTTGAAATATATAAATATGTGAATTAAATTTTCCATAAGCAGATATTCAGTGCTAGAAAAATGCAATATGATTAGATTACAAGTGACCAACAAAATGTGCAGTTACTGGGATAAAAGATGATTGTGCTGATATATAATGTCCTTTAAGAATAATTAATCACAGCAAAAATTACCTACTATTCAAATTCCTAAAACTAGATTGCCCTGGAGTTGCCGTTCATCCAAGTTAGCTTTTAATATTTAATTTTTAAAGGCTATTCTATTTGCCACACACTACTTTCAGTCATTTCTCAGTTGAAAAGAGTCTGCTTTGATAATGCATTTTCAAAATGTGTACAGAGAAGCATAGGAAAGGTAAGACAAGGGGGAAATCTAGACAAAGAGAGAAGTGCAGATAGAATTTACCTTGAACTGAGTTTTATTGAGGCTGACTTTCTGCATCTATTTTCAGTGTTAGGGCTCAGTGAGATTCTAAAAATGTATAGAGTATTTTCAGATGCTCTCTTGGCCACTGTATTTATAGCTATTTCCAGCTCTCTGGACCAAGGCATTTAGGTCAGAACTCTTTCAATGTTTACTTCATAAATTAAGTGCAGCTTGACAGTTGCAATAATGTTTAGGAATAATTATTATTTGAATGGTAATTAAAAGCTTTATGGAATCTGTTTGGAGTTTGCCAGAAAATTGTGATTGCATTAAGTTTGTCTGCTAGAGTCTGGGTGTGTAACTAGAGATTAGAGGGCTGTTGTGTCTATTGTTATGTGAAACCTTTGGAAAAGCTCTAGTTAATAGGTACAGATAAAGAGAAAGTTATGCTGCTGTTGTCATAGTCAATGTGCTAGAGATGAGGGTTAGGAAACCTCAGATCTGGAGGCTGTTGCCCAGGTTTAGAGCCAGAGGTAAGCAGTATGTGTGAAGGTCCTGGTGAGGCAAATGGTCCTAAGGCAAGAAAATAGTCTATAGAGGAAAAAAATAGTTAGAGGGAATATGGGAAGTTTCTCTGAAAAAACCAGTGAAATAAAGCTGATTTGAAAGTAAGTTGAAAGGTAGAAGAAAAAAAGACTTGTTCATTCAAAACAGCACTGCTAGTTCTCCATTGTGGGTGGAGTCAGCAACCAGGCATGGGTTGTACTTGTCTGTTCAGATTGAAGGACTAAATCTGTCATAATTGTTAAATCCCGTCCCTGTTGCTAGGGGCTTCCAGCTTTTGACTCAGTCCTTCAGACTGGACAGGCGTGTGGGACTGTTTCTCTGCTTCATGACTTCTTCTTTGCTTAGGAATTTGGACTGTGTGTTTCTCTTCAGTTTGTGCATTACAGAGTTCATCCTTTCCCTGAGACCTGAAAATTATTTCAATATTCCTCCAGGTTATAAAAAGGTTGAGAAAGGCTATTTAAAAAGATGGAAATGACTTAATCGTTCTTCTTTCTTGAGCTGAAGTTTGGAATGTGTTTGTTACCATCATCAGCAGGGAAAACCAAGGAGAGATAGGAGAATAGGACACCACCTCCATGGTTATCTGTTACTGATGGAGCAAAATGGGAGGTAGACCCAGGCAACCACAAATTTATCTTGGCTTGGTACACTTTGATTATTGGGCAACATTAAACTTTTACAGCCTTCATTGCAGAAACTGCTAGTCATAGTTACTGCCTTACCTATATCTTTAATAACTAAAAATCAGGACTATGCACATTCATTTCAAATAAAACTAATACAATGTTAAGAAGTTATGATATTTATATAGTTACATACCCAGCACATCTAAATTATATTAAAGTAACAAAAATATCTTTACAATCCCCAAGGCTTGTCACTTTTGAGCACCCCTACTGTTTGGAAATTGAAAGTTGAAAAATTTGACACGCCTTACGAGTATGTAGTGTTTTGGATTCCATTTTTGAAATCATGCTTTATAAAATGCGTCAGCACAAAGATACCACCAGAATGCATCATCTTAAAGCAGATACATGTTTTTTATCTGGAATGGTTTGGCACTTTTTTCCAATCTTGGGAAAAGATGTAGTTGTTTCCAGGGATTGCAGGTAGGTGCTGTGTTTGTGCGTTTATACCTTCTGAAGCACTGTTTGCATCTTGACTGCGAAGACCTTACCAGAAAACCCTAGCTGTAAAATGGGCTGCTAATAGTTTACAGTTGCATGACAAAAAGCTGAACTAGGACAACTGAATATTAAAATATTGTGTAGTTCCAAGTATATTGAAATTGGCTTGGTACACTTTGATTATTGAGTAATGTCTGAGTTATTAAATTTGTGGACTATCATTGCAAACTCCCAAATACCTTCAAAGATCTAAAGAGTTTGTTTTAACAACATTAAAAAAATGCTGCCATGCTTTACAGATCAATAGGAGTGAGTTAATCCCAGCTCACCACAAAATAAATGATATAAGAGGTAATTATACTGGTCAAGAAAAACTCACTTTAAACTGTCAAGCAAAATGGGAATTTAGTGGTACTACTCATTTTTACAGCTACATAAATCTGTTTCCTATAATCATTGCTATTATCACAGCCTTTTAACACTAATAAATCAACTTGCCACTTTGTATGGGAGAAGCATCTTGATGAGGAACTTTAATATATTAGCTATCCATTTTGCTTTTTAAAAGCAATGCTAAATGGAATTGCTAAGAGAATTTCCAGTGCTAAATGGAATTATCATCCAATTTTTAAATCTGAAAATTGCCTAAATGTACCAAGCTTTGTTCTGTACTCATTGCAAATTAGACAGCCTTCACAACAGACCAAAAGCAGAGTCCTGATCTCAGTTCTGAGGTGTACTGAACTTTCTCCGTACCTCACCATCTTTGGATTGCAGCTTAAGCTCCGTCCTGCATGTTGCTTCCAGGTTGCCAGCCTCAGCATTGATCAAAACTCCCTTGGGAGCCTCCATCACTAAAGAGCGTGTTGGAGACTCAAGTCTGTAATATCAAAAAGGGATCACATCAGTATCTGGGTTTTTGAGGAGGAGGAAGAGGAGATTCATTTGCAACTTGAAAAGATTTCCTCTGAATTGATGCTGAATCTAAGAAAATACATTCATTTGGAAATTGCGCTAAGCATAAGACTTATATACCACTTCACAGTGTTTTACAGGCCTCTCTAAGCTGTTCACAGCATATTGTCCCACACAATCTGGGACTTCATTTTACCAATCTCAGGAGGATGGAAGGCTGAGTCAACCTTGAGCCGGTCAGGTTCGAACCCCTGGCAGTCAGCAGAATTAGCCTGCATTACTGCCTTCTAACCACTGCACCACCACGGCTCTTGAAATACCAGTATTTGAATGACATGATGTTATATTTTCTTCATTTATTTATTTTATTTATTTATTTTATTTCAAATTTATATACCGCACCATCTCTCGAAAGACTCAGGGTGGTGTACAGCCAGATAAAAACATACAATACAAACATTAAAAAACAATTAAAAGGATATATATTAATTTGGCCCCAGTTCATCCATTCAAGCTAAACTTTTCTATAGCAAGCATTCATGACACTTTTGCTGGGCAGACATAATCTGCTTGCCAATTGATAAATAAGAGCTGGTGTCCAGTGACGTTTACTACACAAAAAACACGCCCCAGATGCAGGAGATATAGGCCCAGAAGGAAGAGCCTAAAAGGTCTGTGAGAAAGGTTTTTAGGAAAGAAATTAACCCAGGAATGAACTGTTCCTAATATAGTCTGCTCTTAACTTGGTAACATCGATATGCATGCATATTTCTCACATACATAAAAAATTGGGACTATCACATGAATATATTTTTTATGTGAAATGGGTGGCTATATAAATTTTCTTAATAAATAAAATATTATTCACAGCAGAACTCTTAATAATCCTCAACAGTGCAGCTATCTTCTATATGTATGCAATATCCTCTTCGCATTCTCCCTACTAGTACAAAAACAATTGCAAAGCTCTTTTTTCAGCATGTTATTTTATCTCTAATCTCTTGTTTCAAAACTGGAAAAGCAGAAATGGAGCTCCTACAGGGCTGCATTTTAAGAGGAGGCGTGGAAAAGAGTGTACCCTTTCCAGACTTTGTTCAGATGGATCAATACTTTTCATTCAAGGATAAGAACTAAATCTACCAGATCTGGGTTACAAAAATTGAAATGGATGCTTACTGGTAGCAAAAAGATACAAAAAACTGTAGCTCTTTATTGCATTTACTGGTCATCTGGATTTTTAGAGCTCAATTTGCTAGTCTTAATTTTTGTTTGTATGAAGTATACAATGGTGGCTACTGTTATCCAATAATCCGGGCCATTGAATTCAATGGATAAAAACAATATAAAAATTACACTGATAGATATTATAGTGGGGGTGGAATATACTTTAGTCAGTGAACTCTCAAAAAGGCCCTCGGCCATTAGCTTTTTCCCAATTTTTTTGGGGGGAGGGAAAGCTCTCCAAAGGGGGAAATAAAATGTGAGCCCACTAATGATGGTCTGCTGTTTACTGGGTAATGGTTTGATTTGTTTTCATTCCAAAAGCAATGAAAAGTACCTGCATTTTGTTCTTCATTAAAAAAAAAAAAAAAAACATTTCTGCCAGCAAAAAACAGTCTTGAATGTAGGCTGACACAATGTAGAATATTTGAACTCTATTAAGATACTATTTAGTCATCATCAACATAGCATAAAACTTCTATATGTCTAGGTCAGGGATGGCATCATCTGTTCTATGAAGCCCACAGATAGTTATTTATAGTCCTGATTTACATTAGACAGTGGCAAGCATGATAGCTTGCAAATAAATCACACTTGCTGCCTTCTGTTAATATTTAAAAGCAATACTTTATTAAAAATCTTTAGATCTTTTTTATTTTTTATCAAACCCACTTAGAAAGGATATTGAAGCTTTCACGGCGGCCTTTAACACACAATTATCTTGCGGTCAGACTCGTAGGAAAGTTGCTGGATTAGCAACCGTGCTAAAAATAATTATCATGAAATACAAGCATGTGACAAGTCTACTAACTTGCTTTTCATCAAATAATACTGATGAACTGAGCTCTGAACTACTTAAACGTTTATGCCATAGTAGGTTTGTAGTAAGGTTTTATTTTTATTTATTTTTTTTGAAAAGTTTTTTTTTATTTTTTAAAACATGAAACATAAAATACATCTTTTTAGAGCAAGGATTTGATCTGGTATAAAGTAAATACAATTACTCACATTCCCTCAACCAATTTTGTTCCAAATTTTATCCATTTACCTCTTTAAAAAAAGAAAAGAAAAAAAAGAAAAAGAAATCTTATTCTAAACATTTAGATTTTGAACATTCCACTATGTCACCCTAAATTCTAAACAATTATTTCCAAATAGACATCATTCCAAATCTTTGTCATTTTAACAAGCAATATTTCATATATATTCCTCATTTCTAAGACCGATTACATCGAGTCTATATTGTATCTCTTTTAAATGGCAATTAGTATCCATAATCTTGACAAAGAATATTTTCCTCCTCTCTTAGTTGTTTCTAAGTCAATCAACATTTCCATCTAAAATTTGTCACTCGCAAAATACTTTATTTTAAAGTCTAATATTTAACTAATTCATAATAGCTATTTCCCAACAGTGTTTTCCGCCACTTCTACCTCTATTTATTTAACTGGTTCACAGTTTGGCTTAACTATTCTCCAGTATTTTCTCCTCCACTTCCTCCTGAGTTTATTTTTTGGCTGGTTCGCAACTTAATCAGTTGCTTTCCAGCGATGCTTTCCTCCATTCCTGACCTTATTTGAGCTGGTTCACTGTATAATTTTAACTGCATACCAACGTTATCTCCTTCAATCCTCCTAAATCTATTATGAAATTGGTTCGCAACTCAAATAGTTGCTTCCCAGCAATGCTTCCCTCTGCTCCAACCTCTATTTTTAACTGTTTCACAACTATATTTCAGTTGCTCTCCAGGTATATTTTCCTCCATTCCTAACTTTTTATTTTTTGGCTAGTTCCCAGTTTTGCTTTAACTGTTACCTATCGTATGCTTCCCTCCACTCCTAACTCTAATGCAGCTTTACTTTCACAGCTTTACTTTGGTTGTTTTCCAGCCCAGGTTTTATTTTGATAATAGGTTAACTCTTGATCACTAGGAGGTACTACACAACTAGTTTTCATCCTTATTGAGATTCTTCAAGCATAGGAATCCTCCATGCTAGTTTCCAACCCACAAAATAGTTGAACATAAAGTATTTAGTATGGAGGTTACCCAGTGGTGAAATCTAGAAATTGTCGCTACTGGTTCTGTGGGCATGGCTTGGTGGGCATGGTGTGGCTTGGTGGGCATGGCAGGGGAAGGATACTGCAAAACCTTCATTCCAACTCTACTCTGGGGCCAGCCAGAAGTGGTATTTGCCGGTTCTCCAAACTACTCAAAATTTCCACTACCGGTTCTCCGAACTTCTCAAAATTTCTGCTACTGGTTCTCCAGAACCTGGCAGAACCTGCTGGATTTCACCCCTGAGGTTACCTATCCCTGAAAAGTCTCAGTAAAAATGAACTGGTTGTTCAATAGTGTCTTTATTGGTCACGAGCTAATATAACCTCTAAACTGTATAAACCTCCCTTAAGAGCCTTAAGTATAATGAATACATATGCCAGTGAAACTTCTGTAAGATTCCTCAATTTCTGTACCATGTGCTGCAAATATTCTCTTCCAATGGTAGATTGTTAATGCTATTGAAAAAAATCAGATGAATGCCACTGCCTGATAATCTCCACACCTTGTACACACAACACAATAATACATACACACAGAAATTACTGTATGTCTTAATAAGTGCCCAGAAATAAATGGCATTAGTCAAGGTGAGAGAGATGAATTATTATGATTTTGTTGGGAGGCAAGAATTTCTCTACTATAATAAGTTATTATTAGAAAGAGGTATTACTACTATTAGTAGTAGTAGTACTAATACAACTTTATGGGCTTCTCAACTCCCAACAACTCTGGGAGGCATACAGTTAAAATATAAAAAAATACAACACTCAAAAAGAAATAATGAGCGGTCCCCAAGACAACATATAACTAGAAAGTCCATTCAGTAGGTTTCAGCCTACTTGTTTCCCCAAAGCCTGAAAGAACAAAAGATAGTTTTGAGATCTTCAGACTGGCAAAATAGTGTCTTCCCAACTATTTGACAGTTCACTCCAAATTTAGCTCCAACTTATCCTTTACTCATACTGTTTTCCTGTTTATATGTTCTGCTTTTATCTAAGATTCTAATGTTTTTTCCCCTTTTCCTTTCTTTTTTTCTTAAAATATATTTCAATGAAAGAGAAGAAAAAAAAAGTAAGAACAGTTAACATAGGCCAGCCAGCTTAAGCTGGTGTAGAACTCTGTTATGGAAATCAGCATACTGGCATTGGATACTTTCCTTGTTATGCTGTTTCTTGACTGTTTTTATGAGTGATCCTAAATACTTTGCTTAAATACTCTTTTATTTCATGTTTGTTTCTAGAAAATTATAATCTTAAACAGTCAGAGGGCAGATGGCAGGGGTGAAATGCTCCCGGTTTGGACTGGATCGCCTGATCTGGTAGCGATGGCGGTGGGTGGTTCGGAGAACCGGTAGCAAAAATCCCTGCGCTCCCCCATGCCCAACTGAGCCGCACGATTATCAGAGGCTTTTTTTTTTTTAGTTTTAAAAGCATTTTTTCTACAACTTCTTCCACTGAAAAAATGCTTTTAAAAGTAAAGAAAAAGCCTCTGATGATCGTGCTGCTCTGCTGGGATCTCAGAGGCTTTTCAAAGCATTTTTTTCTGCAACCTCTTCCGGAGAAGAGGTGGTTAAAAAATGCTTTGAAAAGGCTCTGACGATCAGGCAACACAGCTGGGATCGTCAGAGCCTTTTCAAAGCATTTTTTAAACCACCTCTTCCGCTGAAGAGATTGCAGAAAAAAATG